CGAGACAGGGGTCGTCCGGAACGTCCCGATCTGCTCCTCTGTCCACGCCCTCGCCTCCTCCTGTTCGCTCCCCCTCTCTCTCTCCTCTCCCGTCTCCTTCCCCTCCTTCTCCCTCGGCTCCGTCTCCCATCGGTCCTCCTAGGAGGGGCAGGCTGGAGCAGCCTGCCGACGTTCCACACTGCATCAGAATGCAGCGCGCCGGGAGTTGTCCTCCCGAGGTGAAGCGGCAGCGCCTCGAGGAGGCCCCACCAAGCGTTGCGGAGTCGCCAGCAGACCCCGCACCTCCTTTGTCTCCCCCCAGTGTCGAACTCCCCCCGGGACTTCCAGGAACCGTGGAGCGGGGACCGGTGGTGGTGGGGACGGGACCCAGGGCCTCCGTGGCCGAGAGAGTTCAGGAAATCGAGGACCGAATCAGGACCAGGTCCAGGTCTCCCCAGAGAGTCGAGGGTTTCCAAGAGTGCTTCTGGGTACGGCCAGAAGGACATGGAGTGCGAGTGAGGCCTCTGAGCCAGGAGGGGGCCGAATGGTCTGGTGACTGTCTCGAGGATGGGGGTGTGTTTGCCGCCGGGCGGTCCGGGGAAGTTAACATGAAGCGTCTCAGTCCCGAAGAGCGAGAGAAGTTTCGGGCTTCAGACAGCAAGGAAATGGAGAGTATCATGAAGACAGGAGCTGTTGAGGTGATTCCCCCGGAAAAGGCAGCTGTGATTCGTCGAGAGCAGCCAGAGCGTATCATCTCCAGTCGGATGGTCCGCAGGTGGAAGCCGGTGGAAGGCACGTTCACGGAGCCGACGGCTAAATCCAGGTGGTGTGTTCATGGCCATCGGGATCCAGATTCCGGCTCTCTAGCAGTGTATGCGCCCACACCACAGACCTCGTCCATCATGATGTTCATGCAGGTTATGCTAAACTTGTCTATGCTAGGTGACATAGCAGATGTGAAGAACGCCTTCTGTCAATCAGACCCCATGTCACGAGCGCAGGGACATATATATGTAGAACCGTGCGACGGCACCAGCTTACCTTCTGGATCGCTGATTCTACTACTGGTCAACGTGTATGGGCTGGACGATGCTCCCATGGCGTGGCGAAAAACAGTGGTCAAGTACCTAGAGAGTCACGGGTTCGTTCGCAGTCTTCTGGAACCCTGCTGGTGGTTGCGTTACGGAAAGAATGGCCAGATACTCAACATGATGCTGCTCGAGGTGGATGATTTCTTCATAGGGAGCTCGGACAGCAAGTCTCGAGCCTGGCTGCGACAGACGCTGGAGGCTCGATTCAAGTTCGGCAAGTATCGTGATTGTCATTCTGGCCCAGTGGATTTTGCGGGCCGTCGGGTGACTTTCCTGAGCGACCGAGCTACCGTGGACCAGGAGAAGTATATTCTGGAGGAGATTCGTCCTTTGACATTGGCCCGAGGTCGCCTCTCGGACAAGCGTAGTTTGCTGGAAAATGAAGAGTTTCGAGCTCTACGATCGCTGGTGTACAAGTTCAACTGGGTGGGCCGAGAGGCTCGCCCCGAGGCGGCTGGCATCGCGAGCATCCTCGCTAGCCGCCTGAAGGCAGCAACCGTGGCCGATGTGGCACTAGCTAACAAGCTCGTCAAACATCTGAGAGGAACGGCCTCGAGAGGAATCATTCTCTGGAAGCTGGACCCCGACCGTATGGCGTTCGTGTCCTTCTCGGACGCAGGCGGTGTCGGAGCTTCGGAGGATTTGACAGATGACAAGGGACTGCCAGCTGATCCGACGCAGGGCGCGTGGATGGTGCTGGCTACCGACAGATCACTACTGGACAATCGTTCCGTCAAGGCCTCCATCCTGGGATGGCGGTCCTGCAAGCTCAGGAGGAAGGTTCCCTCCACGTTGGCGGGAGAGACTCAGGCTCTCACAGCAGCTGTCGCCGAAGTAGAGTACCTGCAGGTGCTCTACCGCGACGTGGTGTTTCGCGACGTGGACGTTCCCGACTGCCTCCGGGCCGCGGGACCCTTCACTACGGTCCTTCGGCGAGACTGCCGTTTGGGCTCTAGAGAGAAACAGGTGCACGTCGTGGACGCGAAGTCGATCTACGATACCATGCAGAAAGAGGGCAACGCCAGCGCCAGAGACCGGCGTACAGCTCTAGATCTGGCAATCATCAGCGAATCGCTGGAGCGGGCTCAAGGAAGAGTTCGGTGGATTCCCCACGGGCGCATGCCCGTCGACTCGCTCACGAAGGACGATATCACCAAGAGCAACGCAGCGTTGTTCGACCTGATGTCGCATGGTCGTCTGTGTCTCATCGACGAGGAGGAGGAGGTGATGAGGAGGAAGGACCAGCCCGAGCTCAAGGACAGGTCGCAGGCAGCTTCCCGTCGTGCATTGGCTATGTTGTCGTGGAAGGAGTTTCTCGTCCAGTCGGTGTCGCTGGAGGAGCCCGGTGACGGTGGTGGTGGTTTCCCGACCTCTCCTCTCTCCCCCTCCCCGACCGCTCCCGCCGACTTGCAGGCATCTGTCTTTCAGTAATCTCCGCTCTGTCTGCCATCGCCGTTTCAGCCTCTTAATGTTCTCCGCTTTGTTTCTTTTGTTTGAGCGTCTCGAAGCAGGGGTCGAGTACGCTACTGTTCTGGGTGCAGGACAGCGCACTGTGGCTTATCCTAGCCGAGATTTAAGGGTGCTAAACCTAGGAGAAATTCTGACCCGTGTGACAAGGGTCTAGATTTTCACGAATAGGTTTAGCGTGATGTTTCATCCAGGGGATCTTTGACAGAGTGCGCTTGTGTCCGTACCTGTGGCTCAAGGCAAAACATTCGTTTGCTCCTGCTGCTGCCACAGGGTGGTGAAGACGCAAGACCTTAGGAGGCCGAAGTTGGGATCTTGTTGGGCGGCACGGTCTGACATCTTCAGCCTGGGCATTCTCCAATGGAGCAACGGACGACATCCAACCAGAACTTGTATCAAGGGCGGGTGGGAAGGATGCCCTTGGAGGCCGCAGTTGGGATCTTGTTGGGCGGCACGATCTGATCTCTTCAGCCTGGGCATTCTCCAGGGGAGCAGCGGATGACATACAATCAAAACGTGCATCAAGGAAGGGTGGTCAGGACGCAAGGCCCGTGGAGGCCGAAGTTGGGATCTAGTTAGGCGGCACGGCATCTCTTCAGCCTGGGCGTTCTCCAGGGGAGGAACGGATGACACACAGTCAAAACGTCTATCAAGGACGGGTGGCAAGAACACCCCTGGAGGCCGAAGTTGGGATCTTGTTGGGCGGCACGGTCTGATCTCTTCAGCCTGGGCGTTCTCCAGGAGAACCAAGGATGACATACAATGGACACGTGTATCATGTACGGGTGGTGAGGACGCAAGACCCTTTGAAGCCGACGTTGAGATCTTGATGGGCGGAACGATATATCTCTTCAGCCTAGGCGTTCTCAAGGGGAGCAACGGATGGCATACAATCACAACGTGTATCAATGACGGGTGGTTCGAGCACCCTTGGAGGCACGGTCTGATCTCTTCAGCCTGGGCATTCTCCAGGGGAGCAATGGATGACGTACAATCAAACCGTGTATCAAGGCCGCGTGGGAAGGACGGAAGACCCTCGGAGGCCGAAGTTGGGATCATGCTGTGCGGCACGGTACGATCGCTTCAGCCTGGGCGGTCTCCAAGGGAGCAACGGATGACATGCAATCAAAACGTGTATCGAGGACGGGTGGGAAGGTAGCAAGACCCTTGGAGGCCAAAGTTGGGATCTTGTTGGGCGGCGCGGTATAACATCTTCGGCCTGGGCGTTCTCCAAGGGAGCGGCGAATGACATACAATCAAAACGTGTATCAAGGGCGGGTGGTACGGACGCAAGACCCTGGGAGGCCGAAGTTGGGATCTTGTTGGGCGGCACGGTATGATCTCTTCAATCTGGGCGTTCTCCAGGGGAACGGCGCATATCATACAGTCAGAACGTGTATCAAGGACGGTGGTAAGGACGCAAGAGCCTTTGAGGCCGAAGTTGGGATCGTTTTGGACGGCACGGTATGACCTCTTCAGCCTGGGCATTCTTCAAGGGAGGGGCGGATGACATACAGTCAGAACCTGTATCAAGGACGGGTGGTACGGGCGCAAGACCCTGGGAGGCCGAAGTTGGGATCTCGTTGGACGGCGGGAGACCAGTGAGCACGGCAAAGGACGGGCCGCAGAGGCTAGGACACGAGGGTACCCTAGAGGAAGACGCGCGTCCCTACTAGGCGCGTTGACTGTATGATCTCTTCAGCCTGGGCGTTCTCCATGGGAACAATTGATGGCATACGCTCTCACTTCGGTCGGGGAACTACTGACCCTGGTCAATCCAAACCTGGGCCAGTCGGGCCTTGCAAGATCCTGCAGGATCGTGCACCCAAGCCCGGGTCAATGCAACCCTCGCTCTGCAGGAGCCTGCAAGATCCGGCGCTCTGACTGACCCCCGATTGAATTAACCCCAGTCTCAAGGTCCCCGGCTTCGGAGATCTCGGCTCGGCGCCGGGGCCCTCTGGCGGCGCCTCCAGCGCCCCTCCCTACCGCCCCTCCCTGGCGCCAGGGAGGGTGGGCTCCAGTGCCGATCTGAGAGATCCGCGCGGACTTCCGACAGTTGAAGTTTTAAGCTTCGAGTCGGGGATCCACTACAGAATTAACTTACCCCAAAATAGATTTAGTCGTCGAAGATACGAAATAATACGTAGAATAGTTCGTATATTCGACGAACAAGTAATTTGGAGGTAAGTCAATTCTGCAGTCGATCCCCTACTCGAACGTTTGTGTCTTTGTTTGTTCCCCGATTCTCCCTTGACCGCAGCCTCCCAGGGCCTGTCGTCGGGCCCTGGGGCCACCCCAACAGCGGGTCCAGGGCGCAGACCTGGCCCCGGAGAGGGGATCGGGATCTCTGGGGCCGCGGATTGAGCAAATCACATCGGAGCATGCCTGAGCAAGGTCGGGACCTTCAGTCGGGATGCCGCAACGATCCAGCAGCCGCCATCCGATGCGTCTGAGCAGCGGGGCGTGGCGATCACGGCCATGGAGTCGTCGAAAGTCATGCCCACAAGGGCGGTCATGCGCCGACGGCCACTCTGCAGAGGCCCACCAGCGCGCGGCAAACCGCCAACCCTTCCAGCTCTGGCCCAGCAACGCTGGGCGATGCCGCGGACTGCTGGGACTCTGGGTGCGTTCGGCTTCGAAAGGCCGATCTTTATTTCTAATCGATGTGCTTCGCGATAGCGGCAACAGCTTGCGTCCGATTAACTCGGTGCTCCCGGACCTTCGCCACACTGGCTGCAGGGCCTGACGGTTGGAAGCCGTGCGTTTTTCAATGGTGCCTCCGATTTTTCTGCACCGCGGGAGCATGTTGCTCTTTACTGACTTTGGGCTTTTATCTTCGGGGGCGGCCAAGAGGGGGGTGTCCAAGAGGGGGGGCGCGCAAATCATGGCTGGCGGCACGTGCGCGGCCCACGGGGGGGGGGGCAGGGACGCACTGAAATAAGAAGAGGCGCCATGAAGTCTGAGGACATATCATACATCCCGCCATGATATCCACACCCCCTTTGTCATCACCCCCTATTGGCCGCCTCCGATATCTAGAGGCTGCTATCGAGGTTCCGCAAAAAAACCAGGGAAGAGGGTCAGCTCGTCGCGACTGGTTTGGCGGCCAGCAGTATGCTCGACGAGCCAGGGCGAACGGCCGCCCGGGGCCGATTGCCAGAACTCCGACGCCGTGATCTTCCCAAACATGATCGCTTCGTAACAAAAATTACGACGGAGGGGTTTTTGGCCATTTTCGGTTTCGGGGGGCCCTCGCAGGCCTCGGGAGCGTCGAAGAACGACTCAGGATGAAAAGCCGGTCCCAGGGAACGGGTCAGGACTTCCTGGGACGCCGTCCTGAACAAAAGCAGGACGCCGCATGTCTAGGTTTTGTTTTCGCAACGAAGACCCCTGAAGGTCCGGACCTTTTCCCCTGGACTGGATGTGCACCCTGAGCAGTTTCTGGAATGTCCTGGGGCCTGGTGAAGGTCCCCAGAAGCAGAACATTGTCAACAAAAACGTCCGTCGTGATCTTCTCCTCCCTATATCAAACATGAAAAGCAACACCTGTCTTATGATGTAAATGCTCAAATGAAATACAAACAAATCGCTGATCTCCACGACGCTGCTTGGCCGGAACCATCGGCGTGGGGTCTGTCAGTACCTCAGATATTCCAAGACGGAGAGGAGGTGGGGGTCAGCGTAAGCTACTGGCGGCCATTGGGGTTCTCGGCAGGCCAAAGAGGGCTGATGGCCACTCAAGACCCGACTGGTGCCAGTGACGGCCAGCGCGATCCATCACTGAGCCAAGGCAAGCGGGCGCTTTTCGGGCGCTGCATAACTTATTGGGGTGCGATAGGTGGGGGGAGGAAGTGCACATTTCGTACTCCTTCTTTCTGGGCCCCAGGGGATCCATTTGGGCACGTAAGTGCACCTTTGTTGATCCCCCCATACATCGCTCCCCCAATTCGCGCAACGCCCGAACTTTAGGATTGTTGGGAGATTCGGCCTCCAAACTGCAGACTCTCCTCCCCCGCTCTGGGGAGCTTTCCTCCCGAGCACGTAAGCTCAAGACCCTCTGTGCTCGGGCCGAATCCAAGCCGCCAGGCAGCCCGAAGAAAACGGTCCCAGCGAAACATGCTACGTAACAGCAGGATGCTGAGAGATTCAGAGAGGGCCCTGATAGACAATTGAGAAGGTCCTGAGAGGCTCCACTGACAAGATCGAGAGGCTCCTGAGATCCTGGGAGACCATCGGCACTCTTCTGTCAGCGGCGACCTGGGGCACGAGGTGTTCTGTAGCAACAAACTGGGTCGCGGGGTAGATGATTGCGGGCATGTGTAGAGGGACGAGATGGTGAGCGGCCGCGGACAAAAGCGTAGGGATCAGCGGCGAACCGCGCAGATGCCAACAACCCGAGGCAGTCGGGGCTGGTGGCGGCCAACGAGATGCCAAACAACGAGGGCTAGCTGGCACTCCCAATGCCATTCGGGGCTAGGGCTGGCAAAGGAAGTCTCTGGCAAGCCAGGGCGATCATCGTCGTCCTCCTCGTCCTCATCATCATCATGGTGCCTTAACACGACCAATAGAATGATATCCCAGAGCGATCCACTGCCGGCTTGCCACCACACACCACTGCAATCGATTGAAACAGTACCCCCAGGGAGGGTTGGGTCGGGAACAGCACAAGGCTGCAGATCGGGGCAACGGGCGAGGCACGCTAAACTCCTGCTACCTTCCCCTTACTCGGCTCACTGAACGGCCCCTCTGACATCATTACTGCGCGCGCACTCTCATGATGCTTTAACGCGGGCAATAGAATTATATCCCAGAGCGATCCACTGCAGGCTTGCCACCAGACACCACTGACATCGATTGACACAGTGTCCAGTCTCCCATCTGGAAGAAAGTTCCCGTCTTCAGGCATGTTTTGGCTTCGGGTGGGCTGAGGAGGGGGAAGCCGTAGATCACGGTCTGGCTCTTGACAGAGATGAGACACCCGCGACATGCTTCTGGGCCCGCAGGGATCGAAACGCGTGAGCGACGGCGGGCCACAACTGCGGAGGGTAGTGCTTAGCACGATCTGTCATCCAGCCTGCCATCTTCTGTCCTTCGAGGTATGACTGTGGCCTGCCGGGGCGGGAGCACACGCCTGTCTTGCCAGTGCACTTGTGATCCAGGAACGAGTCGTCAGAATCTGAATGCATCAGGATGGAGGTGCGCTTCCTTAACTCGGTCCCGAACTGGCACTGATCAAACACGATGTGTTTCGCATTCTTTGTGTTGCGGAGGCTCTTCAAAATCGGTATGTTTCACAGCATGGAGGTGGCGGGGTTTTCGATCATGAACGGGATGTTGTGTCGGGGGGCCTGCCGAACGAGCATGCCAGTGACCCTCGCGAGCCTATTGCCTTCCAGACACACCTTTCTATCTTTTGCGGAGAGATCCGGGGCGCTCCAAATGCGCTCAGGAGAACGCGCGGCACTGGGCAGGGGCGAGGTTCGCGGCGCCCTTCTCGGTATACTGAAGGAGCGGCACGGCGTAGCCATGAAGATTCCTTGCGCCCTGCCCGCGCTCATCATTTTCAGCAGCGCTGGCATGATCCCAGGCGCGAAAATGCCGGTGCCGAGCTCGAGCTCGATCTCTAGCGACGAGATGCCGCACCTTGCGACTGCCTTGCCAATCCCCTCGGTCCCGGCGAAGACGTCAAGGAAGACGTCGCCGCCTCCCAGCCAGGCGGTCGGGGTCCTCGGACCCTGCCGAGGCGGATGTCGCCAAGGTGCGAGCAGCAGAGCTCGCGGTGCTCCTGGGCGCCCGGCGGCAGCCCCACCAGCCTGGCATTGACCTCGCTTGGTTTCTCGCGAATGATCAGTGAGCTGATGCTGGCCCACCGCTTGCGCCTCTGAACCTCCAACTGCGGGCCCCCGGTGTCGTCGGAGGGCCCGAGGATGAGCGACCAGCTCTGGTGGGCAGGCCCGAGGCCAACTGCGGGTGGGGCGACACCGCGTACGCGGAGCCCACGCAACCCCCCCGGCCGCAAGTGGGCGCTGAGCGCGACCAGCACGGCCGCAGCCACACCCGTGCGACCCATGAGATGAAGGGCCACAGCAAGTCCGCAGACGTTCGGATACGGCGATGGCAACCGACCCAGTGCTGGCCGCCGTCGTCTCCACGCCTTGAGGGACCTCTCGAACCTGGCCAGCGGCTTGGTGTTGGGCCTCTTAGGGTTCGGGTAGAAGTGGAGGACAGTTGCATGCAGCTTCCCTTCGTCGTGCCTCCTCCTGCCGCCCAAGCGCGCCTGGTCGGCCCGCTCCAGCAGGGCCTCCTCCAAGTAGTCCTGGCGGCGGGCGAACTAGAAGAAGTCCCCGACGCGCCTGTTGTAGTCCTCGATCGGCCATGGCCTGACCACGATGCTCTCCAGGTACGAGATGCCCCCGCGGCTGGCTGAGCACCGAGCGGCAGCCTGCATTGTCGAGGTTGTGGCCCGCGATCTCCGCAAGCCGCCGCGAAGCCCTGCTGGCATCGCCGGGGGGCGGGGGGCGACAGGTGGTTCGGATCGTGCTGGCCCTGCGCCCCCCAGCGGCAGCGGCTCCCGGGCGTGCGAGCGCAGCTTCCCAACTGGCAGCGCTGCCTCCACCTCCCGGTGCCTGGTCACTTTGCGCGACGCGACCCCTGCTGCGGGCATCCGTCTGACTGCGGGTGCCCTGGTAGTCGCCCCAGGCATCGGGATGAGCCAGCCCAGGGGGAGGGCGCCATCCAGGAGGAGAGCTGCCCAGCGCGGGCTCCCACTGTCGAGAAGGACGATCGGCGGGATTGACCTCGGATGGTATCCATCGGCGCTGCGCTCGCAGTCTTGTGGCGAGCTGAAGGGCAGCCATCTGTCGTAGTTGGCCCAGCAGCGCGGGGTCCCTGCACCTGCCTTTCTGAAGAGCAAGTGCGAGGCCCATGTTGCCGACAAGCATGATCACCCTGCTGTGGCGCCAGCGGCCGCGTCGCACGACGCGCTTGAAACCCAGCTTGACGCCGCGCGCTTCCTTGACATGGATGGCCCCCTCGTGCTCCCCACAAGGCCTCTTGGCCACCGCGGCCCGCTTCGCATGGGTGACGGCAATGGGCTGGATGTCTGGGAAGTCGTCGCAGGAGAGCCAGGCCGCCTCCTCTCCGTCGTAAACGAGGTTGCCGTTCCTATCGACTGGTGGCTCGCCTATGTCATAGCCGGCCAAGGCCACCTCGCGATGCTTGCGATGCGGATCCTTCTTGGACCTCCAGCGCTCGTCTTGGCGACCCGCGAGGCGAACGTCGGCGGGCGCCCACTCGGCAGCGCGCGCGCCAAGACCAGTCTGGCTAGCATCAGTGGCCACCACCTGGTCAAGCCAGAGGTCCGCGTAGACCAGCGGCAGAATGGCCGCCCCCGCCGGCTCGGCGAAGGCGGAAGAGGCGGCGAGGCGCGATAGGCAGGGTCGCCGTAGCATGAAAGCGAAGCACAGGTGCCCGAGCGTAGCCCGCATCTCCCTGCCCGTGCAACGACTTCGCCGCACAGGGGCATGGAG